TCAAACTGGCTACTATAAACTGGGATAAATTGTGTTTTATCCAAATGGAGCAAAGACCCTCAAACAACATGCATATATTTTGTTTAGATCACTACACATCCTCTCTATCCATCACTTTTCTATATGTTGTTTAGTCTTCCAACCCAGTGAGTCAATTATGAAATCAACAAAATTATGGGTATACTAAATCCACAGGGCCCAAATACACGCCCTTTTTGGGAGACAAAGGTGTTGTTTTATTTGAATGAGTGGCTGCTGGAATTATTTAATATTCTTATTTCATATAGATTAAACATGCATAACTGCTATAATTTATGCCAGTATTTCCCAAACTTTTCTTAGTTGCTGCGCCTTTTTTTTTTTTCAAATAAAATTTTTCCATGGCGCCCTAACCTAAGTAAAAGTATGACTATTTGTATGTAAGAGATTTAAAAAAAAAATAAAACGCATGTATCTTTGAATATTTTGGTAGGCGCCCCTGTGAAGAGGTCGCGGCGCACAGTTTGGGAATCACTGGTTTATGCAGCAGATATTTTGTAGAAAGTCTCATCACAGGAAAGATTAACTTATGCCAATTTCCCCTAGTCTTATGCATTTTCAAGCTTGAGGCTGCGACCAAATATAAAATACCATATACTGGACAAGACTAAAGAGTGGGCATCATCACAATACATAGAGCAGAAATATTTCTAACAACATTTCAAAAACAAAATGTCAAAACTCACTGCCAGCTGATCAAGAGGTACACAACCAACAGTACAAAAAAAAAAAAAAGGCAAGAATATTACACTGCGGAAGACAGTGATAAGCAATGTATTAAAATTATGTTTTTCATGTAATTATGTTTGTTGAAATATAATGCTTCAAACTTCACTAACAGCAACAATGATGGTGTCTCCTAGTGAAAGTTCTATAAAAGATCACAGTTTACGGTTATAGGAATTTATAGTGATAAGCAAGGAGCGTCTGGTTAAATGGTTAAGCTCTTAGTTAAGAGATCCAAGGTTGAATACTTGCTAAGGTGATGGATTTTCTTCTGGCGGGGGCAAAAACGAAATCCTAACCTTCAGTCTATGGCGACTGCACTAACCACGCAGCCCTAAATCCACAGGCTCAAGGCTCCCTGCCCTAGAAAGTGACACATGCAGGCAGCAAAGAAATTGGCAAGCAATGTGTCAAAAATAGTTACCGTAATTATGTTTGACACCAAAGAATGCTTCTACTTCAATAACAATAAAAATTGTGTCAGCATCTAGCAGCTATAAGAAATACAGTTCATGATTATTAGAAATTATAGTAATTTTTTTCTCTCTATGTTTGCTCCAAAAAAAAGTAGTTAGCAGGTTGTGTTGCAGTTTACAGCTAGGCTTTCAGCCCAATACCAATACTTCAGCAAACACCTAATTAGTCACCTTTTTTTTCTTGCTTGTTGGGTGGGGGCAACTGGGGTGGATCTATTATTTGACAACACCCACTCAGAGATCACAGTCTAAAACAGTCTGCAGATTTTCCCAGATTAACAGGGTATTTTAAACAACAAAATCACTTACAGCAGCACAAATGTAAACCATATGGTGCTCACTAGGAGGATCCCCACAGCAGCACAAATATCCACCATATGGTGCTCACTAGGAGGATCCCCCCAGCAGTACAAATGTCCACCATATGGTGCTCACTAGGAGGATCCCCACAGCAGCACAAATGTCCACCATATGGTGCTCACTAGGAGGATCCCCCCAGCAGTACAAATGTCCACCATATGGTGCTCACTAGGAGGATCCCCACAGCAGCACAAATATCCACTATATGGTGCTCACTAGGAGGATCCCCACAGCAGCACAAATGTCCACCATATGGTATTCACTAGGAGGATCCCCACAGCAGCAAAGTCCACAAACTAGGAGGATCACAAATGTCCACCATATGGTAGGAGGATCCCCACAGCAGCACAAATGTCCACATATGGTGCTCACTAGGAGGATCCCCACAGCAGCACAAATATCACCCACAGCAGCACAAATATCCACCATATGGTCTTCACTAGTAGGATCCACACAGCAGCACAAATGTCAACCATATGGTGCTCACTAGGAGGATCCCCACAGCAGCACAAATATCCACCATATGGTGCTCACTAGGAGGAGGATCACTAGGAGGATCCCCACAGCAGCACAAATATCCACCATATAGGAGGATCCCCACAGCAGCACAAATGTCCACCATATGGTGCTCACTAGGAAGATCCCCACAGCAGCACACTAGGAGGATCCCCACAGCAGCACAAATATCCACCATATGGTGCTCACTAGGAGGATCCCCACAGCAGCACAAATATCCACCATATGGTGCTCACTAGGAGGATCCCCACAGCAGCACAAATATCCACCATATGGTGCTCACATATATGGTGCTCACTAGCAGCACAAATATCCACCATAGGATTCCCACATAGCAGATCCCCACAGCAGCACAAATATCCACCATATGGTCCTCACTAGGAGGATCCCCACAGCAGCACACATGTCTACCATATGGTGCTCACTAGGAGGATTCCCACAGCAGCACAAATATCCACCATATGGTCCTCACTAGGAGGATCCCCACAGCAGCACACATGTCTACCATATGGTGCTCACTAGGAGGATTCCCACAGCAGCACACATATCCACCATATGGTGCTCACTAGGAGGATTCCCACAGCAGCACAAATGTCCACCATATGGTATTCACTAGGAGGATTCCCACAGCAGCACAAATATCCACCATATGGTATTCACTAGGAGGATTCCCACAGCAGCACAAATATCCACCATATGGTATTCACTAGGAGGATTCCCACAGCAGCAGCAAAACAGGAAAGCTGCATATCTAAGACACCCACACTATAAGCTGGCTTTTACTTCAGAAATCAAACCGCCATGTCTCCTGTTTTGAACAGACTTATTTTACCTAGACAGAGAACAGCTCCTCTATGGACAGGCAAAATTAGAGACACTGAAAGAGAAGTAATCATTATAATTGAATAAGTGAGGTCTTTTTTCAATAAAACTGTGCTATTGAGAAACCACAGTAGCAATGAAAAGGTCATAATTGGAAAGAGCTGTCAGTACAGGGTTATTCAACTGGTGGCCTGCGGGAACAGAGGCCTAGCAAGTGGAAAGAAGGATCACTGCCAATTCTATTAATGACCTTTCTAGGCTGGGGCTCCGGCAATCCTTGGACAAAAATTTTCAACACTTTGGCTGGCCCGTGAGTAAACTGAGTCAAACAGCCCTGCAGTCATGAATTAAAAATATAAAACCAATGTTCATCATAATCTTATAAGATAATTAATCGTACATATTCACATAGCTACAAGATAAGCATTGTCTCAATATTATAATAGGATATAAATAGAATACATTCATCAGTGATACACATTTTATGATGCGATGATTACATAGTTTAATTTAAAGTTCATCTTTTGTATTAGAAATATTATCATGTGTTCCACTACATACAAATCACTACAGCATTCCCAGCCAGACAGTAATGCAACAGAACAAGAATGTATCAACTCTATGTTTAAAGAGTGCCATAATCCTTTTGGCACCATAACACTGCAATCCTATCTTTGGGAACCAAGTCAAAGGCATCAAAGGAAAAAGGAAACCATTACAACAGGGTTTGCAGCCAGTCGTTCACGTCAGAAATAAGAATACACACATGTGATTATTTTAAAATCCAGACGTTATTGAATTTCCATAAGTTAAAATAACTAAATTTCTATATAATTAATCTCAATTTCTATGAGTTAAGAATACTCAATTTCTGTAAGTTAAGATATAATTTTGAGATCATTGTGCTACCAGTACCAAATATGGACCCCTTACTACAACTAATGATCAGAAAGATTGTAACAACAGAGATGAGATGTCTTAGGAGAGCTGCTGGTGTGACAAGAAGAGATAAAATCAGGAATAAAGAAATTAGAAGAAGACTAGGATTGAAACCAGTCAAACAATTCATTAAAGAACAACAAATGAGAGGGTTTGGCCACCTGACGAGAATGCCCTGGTACCAACTACCACGCTCAAGAAATATAATAAACACAGAGCAAGGGAAAGACCACGCAAGAGATGGAGCGACATCATCAGGCGCAACCTAACAGCAATAAACACCAACTTGTACAGTGCACTGGAAAAAGCTCACAAACGATCCTTACATCTCCCCCAATACCTTGCTGGAAGTGAAGAAGAAGAAGAATTTTGAGATAATGTTTAGCAAAAATAAATAATGGGTTAAAGATATGACAAAAAGAAGATAATGGTGCCTTGGTGTAATGCATTATATTTTATATATATTTTTTGTTGCAAGTCAGGTTGCTGTTGTGCTAACATTATAGTGTGTTGAATCACAAGCTATCACAATTAGAAAGACATTACATACAAGAATTCTATATCAATTTTACGTCATCTTCTTCTTCTTAGTGTTCACCGGCTGAAAACTCTGGCTTTACGTCATCTTCTTCTTCTTAGTGTTCACCGGCTGAAAACTCTGGCTTTACGTCATCTTCTTCTTCTTAGTGTTCACCGGCTGAAAACTCTGGCTTTACGTCATCTTCTTCTTCTTAGTGTTCACCGGCTGAAAACTCTGGCCAGAAGTTCTGGTTGTCCCTATCTGGATTTTGGTCTTGTTCTAGAGATTGTTTCAAGATCTGGCTTATTTGTTTGCAGATTGTTATTATTTCCACATCTCTCAGGCAGATACCCCAACTTCAAAATATACATGCCTAATTAGTTGCCTTTTATGACACGCTTGGGGGAGGGGTGAGTCTATTCTTTGTTCATCCAAAATGGGGCCTCAGACCTCACAAGGTCATCAAATTTAAGGTCATCAAAACTATGCACTGACGCAAACCCATGACAGAGCTAAACACAACATGCTGTGTCCGGAAATGATGATGATGTGTGGGTGTACATTATCATACAAGTTTGAACTTTAAGTGTAAAATGATGCAGCTAAGGTGTGTATGCAGGCGGTGGGGGATAGTTAGAATGAGAACCCGAGTCTGAACTAGGTAACGGTGGTAAAAGTGCTTCAACATCATCAAAATAAACATGTTCGGCATGTCTGGCAGAATCGGACATATTATAAACAGAATGTCCGCGCAGGCAGTTGCAAGCTGTTCCAATGACTGACATGCCTCCTGCTGCTGTTATCAGGTAAAAGCTGGCATCAAAGGTCACCTCAACTCTACTGCCATCATGAAGACGTGTGGACACCTGCAACTTCTCAACATTGGATGTAATCCAGTAGGTGAACATGTCGATTGCAACACACATCACAACTGTGGAATGGGACAAATTGAAAGAAATATTACACACACACACAAACAGATTTTTAACGATTTAAAAAATAAAAAAATCTGTAGTGATACAGATCTGTTTCAAATTTGACTTATGCTCTCATGTCGACCCAGCCTAAACCTGGTCTTGTCTTGTCCACAATTGCCTCACAGCGTAGTGGGGAGTTGCAGTTTTCTATCCTGGGCCAGGTGTGTTGCACGTGTTGTTGTTAGTCTGTGTTGCCTCAGGATCTCTGATATATTGTCTATCCATCGTACTCTCGGTCTGCCTATTGCTCTAGGGCAGTAGTGCTGTTCATTGTATGCTCGTAGAGGCAGTTGGTCGGTTTGCAAACCACTCTATTTGTTGCTTCTTTATGTATTGCAGGCATGGTGTGGTTCCTACAATTGCTCTAATGTTCTCGTTTCGAACTCTGTCTCTCCTTGTGACATTGGCAGCCTTACGTAAGCATCTCATTTCGCACGTCGTGATCTTTTTCTCCTGTGCTCAAGTTAGGGACCAGGTTTGGCATTGGTAGCAGAGGGTTGGTATAAACATGCACCTGGTACCAGGTAATATTCTGGAAAGTAAAGGCAGCGGGTATGATGCTGACCACATGACCCATCAAACTGCTGATTGGTCTATAAACATATATGTCAAAGGGGTGAACAATTGTCATTTACCTCTTAAAGAATAAATTTAATACAATTTATAAGACTGCCTAGACAGTTAGTTAGTCTAGGTTTAGCATCACATCAGATGGGTCGCCCCCCAACTGCTCCATTCCTGCGCAAGTGGAAATCACACACAATGCTCTTCACTGTGCCATTTGAAAACTAGTGACAAATTTATCAGTCCCGGCAAAATCTTGAAGCTGCACGTGCAAAGTAAAAATGCATAAGGCAGATGTAAGATGTGCCAACACTAACGGCCCCACACCAGAACTGCAGCTCACTGTTGGGGCAAACAGTCAATCACCCAAGCCAGCATTGCACCCACAAAAAGTACATGCCATTCTGAACATCACTGGCAGCCAGTGTCAGCAACACTCCCACGGGCACGATAGAAGGAAAAAAACACATTCCACATGAAATCCAAAGCTCAAAATGTTGCAACAAGCACTCATTTCAGTAGGTATGCCATGGAACCTTTAAACTCCCAGTCCAGAAATGAAATATTCCCATCAGTAAAACCCAGCTAGAAAACAAATTTTCAAAACCACAGCAATCAACTGTCTATCAACCATTTTGGCCTGATTATTACTAGGAAGCATAAGTAAAGTCAAGAATAGTAATGCTGGAACTTACTATGCATGCCAAAAGAGCAACTAAGAAAGTTTGGTGTAAGATAAAGAAAATTGCAGCTGCAAATCTGACCAATTATGAACAAGTCTACAATGGGCCCATTATGTGCTGTTTGGGGACACTATAACCCACTTAGAAAAGTTCAAGTAATTGTCTTGGATGCTTCTGTGCAAATGTAAAGTTCCATTACTAGTCTTAGACATCTTTGTGTAGATGTATAGTTCCAGAAATGGTCTTGGACACCTCTATGTAGATGTAAAGTTCCAGTAATGTTCCACTACTAATTTGGGATATCTTTGTGTAGATATAAAGCTCCAGTACTAGTCATGAACACCTTTGTGTAGATGTAAAGCACCAGTACTAGTCATGGACAACTTTGTGTAGATTTAAAGTTCCAGTACTAGTCTTGGACACCTTTGTGTAGAGGTCAAGTTCCACTACTAGACTTGGACACCTTTGTGTAGAGGTCAACTTCCACTACTAGACTTGGACACCTTTGTGTAGAGGTCAACTTCCACTACTAGACTTGGACACCTTTGTGTAGAGGTCTAATAGACTTGGACTTCTTTGTGTAGAGGTCACTAACTGGACACCTTGGACACTTCTTTAGTGTGGACACCTTTGTGTATAACATGAAGTTCTAGTATGTATCTCGCATACCTGTATGTAGAGGTGAAGTCCCAGTTCTAGCATTAGTCCCCTTTCTGTAGATTTGCCCTACTGGCTTTCCATCTATCCATCCACAGAATTTTCGGCTCTACTTTGAACGGCGCCTTAAAATGGCAGCCGTAATATGATGCCGTTCGAAAGAGAGCTAAATTGGCCACATTCTGGCCATAAATTATCCAAAAATATCCTAATGCAGCTCAGTTCTATTAAAAATCCGTATAACCAAAGATATTTGCTTCTGCGAGTGTGCCTTCATATCTACGCGCGGAGCGGATGGGGACTGGTACCGCAAGATACTTTACTCGTGAGTAGCACCTAGTTTAGCCCCCCCCCCCATAGTGCCGACTTATCTACAGAAGAAGAGTATTTAACATCTGTCTCGAAATTGGTCAAGATCGTCTCTATAACTGCAGTCGAAATTGAGGTCTGCTACTAAATGATATTGATTGTCAAGTAATCCCAGTTTTGCCGCGATTAGTCCCTTGGCAGAAAGTCCGTATTTTAGATACGCCTGAACACCGTTCGGATATTTTTTGGATATTTCATGGTCAGAATGTGGCATCATATTACGGCCGCCATTTTAAGGCGCCGTTCAAAGTAGAGCCGAATTTTCAATCTCAGGCTGGCAAAGATATCGGGTTGCAGCAAGGCACCGGACTCAACAGAAAAGAGTTAACATCTGTCTACAAGACTCATAACCAGCCAAATGAGGGTGTTTAAATGTTGGATTTGTTTAAGGTCTTATTTTGTGTTGATATTTATTTTAATTGAAAAAGTTTTTAAGTTTCAAGTTCTTCTGCATTCAACTTTTAAAGGGAAGTTAGAATGTTGCAATGTCATTTACAGCTAGGCTGTGATATCTGCACCTTTTGACTCAACCCATTCCATTTCAGTAAACCCTAGTAAGTCGCCTTCAGGCACATGCTTGTTGGAGCTCAGTGGATCTATTCTTTTCTCAACCAAAATTGGGGCCTGGGAACCCACATGGGAATTAAGTTTATACAATTCATACTCATTTATACACCTAACAAGAATGCCCTGATACTATCCACCCCAGCGAGCCACACTAAAATGTTACAACGGGTATAGACCGAGTGGAAGACCTCGGAAAATATGGAGCGATGGCATTAAGAACAGCCTTACAGAAATGAACATCAGTCTTAATAGTGCTCTTGACAGAGCTCATCAACAAACATTACATCTCCCCCCGACACTTCGATGAGGTAAAAGGTGGAAGAGAAGAAGAAGAAGAAGAAGATACTCATTAGTTAAATGTTAAACACTGAAGCCAAATGATCTGCCCATACCTGTAAGGATGTTAAATATTGCATTTCGTCTCAGAAGTTTCAAGACCTGATATTCTGGTCCAATCAGGTCTAGAAGGAAAGCTAACAGACTGCACACAACAGCAATCAAGGTGAAGGCAATGCTTGTTTTGAAGAGCAGGACAGTCTCGTAAGTCACACAGTTAACCATGACTGTACAGGGACATAAACATGTGGTTATTTTCATATGCAAACCGTCATGAATTTCTGAACACATAATAAGAATGAAGGGTGGTGTTTAAATACTTCTTATGTTATATTCCGTGCTATGTAGGACAAGAGGATTTTCTTTACTGCACTAGGCTTTCCCATATGGCTCAGTCTCTCTCTGACATAATTACTATCTGCATGTTGACAGCATCACAGAAAGCACTAACTCTGCTGCTCCAGCAATGGTCCTCAGGAATCTCTGTAAAAATGACACTTGTGAGACGACCGGTGCATCCAGGAAATGAACCCAAAACCTTCAGAGCACGAGGCAAAGGGCTTGACCAATGCGCCACAGAGACCCCCCAGTACTACACAGTGCTGGCAGTCATGTATGATTACAGCCTCTTGCCTTGTGTAGTGTCAATAACGTCTGACATGGATACTCCTTTATACCATGATCCTGAACTATCACTATACAGCTTTTCAGCTCGGCCGTTGTCTCTTTCCCCCACTAACTTTCCTCACACAAAATATACTGATGATAGAAGTAATCAAAGAAGTAATTAACCACTGAATATAAACTGCAACTGAACAGACTGGTCAGCAGGACTGTCAGCAGATTCTTGATGACCTTCTGCTGGCAGAGAATATCCTTCATGATGTCCTTGCTCCCCCCCCCCCCCCCCCCATTAGGTCTCTGCTCTTGTTGCTAGGAGATGATCTTTCCCATACCAACTTTCCTCATATATACTCAGATAAATGTTTATGGCAAATTATTTTGCTGTATCTACCCAAATATTATGTAGCTTTTATTTTGTTTAGTTAAAATGAACATGTAAAAACAGTAGATCAAGAAGAAGAGAAATACGGACATTACAGAAGATATGAACATGGATGATGAATGGCTCATAAAGAGCATCATATCTTAGAACCTTTAATTCTTTTAACATATTAATCATCGCAATGGGCTAGGAAGAATACTTCTAGCAGAAAACAGTTTCTAAAACCCGAAAAATGGAACTGAAATTCCTTATCTTTCTAGTGTCTGATTTTCCTAGTCAGACAGTTTATTTAAAAAGGAAATTAATCCAGTGGACTGTGACTAAAAAAAGCTTAATGAAATGGAGAACAATGTGCACAAAACATGCAAACTGACGTTTCGGCCAGGGCCTTTCTTGACATAAACTAAATTACAAAACAAAAACAAAGGGGAAAGTACTCCAACCATCTGGGGGGTCACATGAGAGACTATAAAAAGGTGATGTGGAATAAATAAAATAAGATAAAGGAAGGCTCGAAAAAAAGATAAAAGTAAGAGTGATATTATATAATAATAGTAGGAATAGAAAAGTAGTAGAAATGTTTATGATCCATAACTGGTACTAATAAAAGATAGAATTAAATAATAATATGAAATAAATAAGCATAAAAATAAAACAATAAAATTAAAAATAATGTGAGCTGAGTTGAGTCAAGAACTGAAATCACAGCACTTAGGGGATTCCCATGCGTGCTCCCCATGTGCGCTCCATCCTCATCCTCAGCAGCCAGTGCAGAGTTCCAATACTCATGGTACCGGTCATAATCTGGTTATATGTCTGTATTGCCTTTTCTCTGAGTGTAGTTAGCCGGCCAGACTCTCTGGTTACACCCAGGTGCCTCATTCTCTCCAGACCATAATAATCTTCTTTCTCTACTGATTCTATTGTTTGTTTCCAAAGGGCCTTGACCACATCTGCTTTGTCATGTCACCACCTAGTGGTGCAGATCCAGCCATTACCCACTATGCCGGCATAGCCTAGAGAAAAGATCCAAAGTATGCTCACTACCGGTGACCTTCCCAGTGAAGCTTGCCACTCAAAAATAATGTGACAATTGTAAAACTGTTTATATGAAGATATGCTGGTCATTAATGCCTCCTGGACTTATTCAAAACTATGTACTCATTGGATTTGGACAGAGTTACGAAAGTTGCCCCATGGAAGAGACTGGGGCCTCACTGTGTCATATTCTAAAGGTCAGGAGTGGGTGCACTGCAGCGAACCTTCATGCAGAGATGGTACTCAAATTAATTAATGAATCGCTGGTCATAAAAATGGATGAAGCGGGAGAACTGACAATCGGTTAAGAATCTTTTTGGCAGGTTTGTGATGACAGCAATGTACTGCAATGACCTAGCTATCTCATGATAAAGATGATGAACCTGTAACGGTGACCAGCCACACAGTGACTTGATTAGTCGTAAATGATCTATGACATCTTTAACTCTGATATATAATATTCACAGATCTCAAGTATGTGGGAGCTGAGAAAGCATTATGGCTAAATGCCTGCCAGACTGAAGGTGTTGCGTTCAAATCCACATAGTAGGAGATATTTTTTTTTTTTTTTACAACTGACTTTGTAATGTTTTTTTTTAATCAGCCTGGTATGGATATGAACCAAAGACCTTCAGGCTGGCAGGCAAGTGTCTAGCCACTGCACTAACACTACCACCATTATTATTTATCTTTATTATTATTAACATAAAATATACAACAAGCTAATCACTGAATGTGTAATTACGCTACGGCATACCTCATAAAACATACAGTAACTTAACAAGAAAAATTGAATTTTTTCTCTATTTTTATCACTATCACAATTTCAGCAGATGTTGTAACTGAAATCAACACTTACTGTCATTGGAACTGTCTCCAAACTTGTAAACTGTATCATCTATCTTAGTCAGCGGGTAGTTCTTATAGAAGTGTCCATTGTAGAAAAACTGTGTTGTGCTTAACTGTTTCAGGCTTCCCTCAGGGCTGTGAAGTAGGTGACACTTGCCTCCCTGGTTGAAACAAGTAAAATTACAGTATCAATAGAAAAACAGCTCTGAAGCAATAGAATAACAATCATATTGTTACAAAATTATGTTCACAAAATATCCACAGTTCATAAGCAATGATACTGGGCACAGAAGTGTTTTCATTACAGCGTTTTCAGCAGTTAACTTTTATCCAATTTAATTTATTTCAGTATGGCCTCACTTTCTCAGCCCATTTATTTTCCATTTTAGTTCCGGTCTGGTGATTTTTTGCTCATTTCCATGTGTGTTCGATACAATTCTATCTTCTCCATCTTATAACAGTTGTTACCAGTGACTGCCCAGATATTTTTGTTAATTCTTCACCCATTCTGAATTCATCCCATTTTATGTTCAAAATTTTCCTCAGGATTTGTGTTCAAATGCATTTAACTTACATTCCATGTTTGTAGTGGTTCTAAGTCAGCGTCTGCGGATTAGGCGTTGCGAACGCGCTCTGTAATGCCGGGGTGCCGTCTTCGATCCCCGCTGCGGACAGTTTGTCTTGTGCTGGTTTCGACAGTGGTATCGAGAGCCGACCGTCCAGGAAGCAATGGCAAACTACTGGACGTAAACTTGCCTAGGAAAAACACAACAGCCAGAAAGTGTTGGGTGGTTCTGCAACGCTCTGCAAAGAATACGCAACTAATTAAAAAAAAAGTGATTCTAAATATACTTCTGCACTTACTGTTAAATAAACCCAGTCTGGCTCCAGAGCTGTACACAGTAAAACAATTGTGATCATACTGCACAGCGCAGCAGCAAAGTTCCGCTCCTTGTGCTTGAAGTACATCCTACAGTTGTGTCGACTGTGGCGCTGGCTAGAATGTCGATGCCGACTTCGGGATCGGCTGCCCGAGGATCTGTTTCTGTGGCCATGACCTCTGCGTGAACTTCTTGCTCTGTTCTCTCTGGAGGCACTGGAAGATCTACTGGGTCGAACAGAACCCGGATCAACTACAGGCGGAGGCAGTGAAGATTCACGGTGAGGGCTAAGTCTAATGTTCTCAGGTACCAAAACTGACGCTGTATTCGACAAACTCTCTGTTGAATCTACCACAGTCATACTGCAAACTGTAGTCTGATCCTCAAATGTTTCTGGCCAGGATTCCGATACAAATTTTCCTGAATTTAAAGAAAAAAAAAACAATATCATACAGTTGTTAATGAAATTATTTCCAATGCAACAAAAAAAAAGCATATAATTTCTTACTCAGGAAAAGTCAACATGTTTATGAAAATGCAAGGTTGAAACATTTCTAATTTCAAAAGACTGCAATAAAAGCCGGTATTTTCTCCAACTGTTATGCTAAACTAGTGGTTGGCAAATCGTGGCTCGCAAGCCACATGCGGCTCTTTAGCGAAATGAGTGCGGCTCTTTGTATTTTTTGTCAATAAAAAAAATTTAGTTTTTATCATATCTGGTTGGATTTAATGCCTAGTAGCTAATTTAAACCGACTCCTCCCTGTGTGGGTTCTAGGGCCCTATTAAAGGAAAAACAAGAATAGACCCACTGCCCACCGAAAAGCATGTCGTAAGAGTCGACTAATTGGGAGCTTCCTTCGAAGTCGGAGTGCATCTGCCTGAGAGGCAAGGAACCAGCAGTCTGCATACAAATGAGTCAGATCTGTAAAATGGATACACACGCAATACTCAGGTTCTGAAACAGGACTGCAGTCCAGAAGTTGATGAACAACCAAAACTTTCAACCGGAGTTTACAGCTGGTGAATGCGAAGAAGAAGAAGAAGAAGAAGAAGAAGAAGAAACTGACTCTGAAAAACATGGCTCTTGACAAGTTCTTGAAAAGAAATTTGGCTCTCAAAAAAATGGTCATCATCCTGCTGCTGATGTTAAGCCCTTTTGACTAATGAGTTTGCCGACCACTGTGCTAAACCAATGGTTTTCAACCTGGGGGATGCCAGGAAGTTTAAGGGAGCCATCAAGCAATTTTGGAATTAAGTTATTTATTTGTACTTGTGAAATCTGTAATAACTTTTGTTTTCAGTTTAATTATAAATAAAATGTTTTAAAAATAATTTATAAAACAAGTATCCAAGGCGCAAGATGAGATCATTGTAATCAGGCGAATGCAGCTTTTGGACTGAGTATCCACCAGGATAAGGATAAGTGGACACCTCTAGTGGTGCTCTTTGCAGTGACAGAGTAACAATTTACCCTGGCAAATTACAAGGCTAAACGCTGATGGTGTAGGTTACAGTATTGTGGATATAGAAGGCAAGAAATGACTATAACCGTTTCACTCATGAACATTCAAAATAACTGCCAAATAAAGATTAGGAAAGATATGATGGTAAGGCCCATCAGCGACCGTGTCGCCAACTGACTGATCAGTAGATGACTTCGTCACCGGTGGGGACAATATTTAGATCTGTCTCCCCTGATCGCATCAACACTGCAAGAGTCTTTTTCAGGGCTACTTGGCAACAAGCAATGCTAAGTCATTTTATATGGCACACATGGCCTAGTCACAATTATAAGCTAAAACTCCCCCTTTGGGGATGCTGGTTGAACCTGACAATTTTATTTTCACAAAGCAAGCCAAGATGGTGAGGCTGCCAGGCAGGAAGATCGTTTATGAAATCAGATGAGAACAATTACACAGAAAGAAAGTGAAGCAGGAACGATGGCAGCAGACTTGGCAGTACTTAAAAATATGGGAACATTAAATGTTAGAAGCCTATATATGAGTGATCATCATATCAGGATTTATGATTTGAAAAGAATAAGTTTGAAATAAGATCTGATACATCTAGAATAACATAGGATAGAGGGCTGGGATCTGCAGCAGATAGTACTAGTACAGTGGGCGTGTGTGATCTAGCTGTGTGATTATGTCCTAACTGGGCACAAGACAAAAGGGTAGAAGATATGATATATTGATATTCTGATTCATATACAACACAAAAGTGTTGAAACGAAACTTTATTTATAGAAGTTACAAGTAAAGGGCGGCATGAGAAAAGAGGTAGGTCTCTAGTTACCAGTTCTACTCTAGCAGAAGTAAAATCTAATTAAAGTAAACAAATTGTATAGCAAAATAATAATTAATATTTTAAATAATAAATACAATATTTTATTAACACTAAACTTCACTTCACCTGAATTTTTGTCTACATTAAAAAGTGTCCTTTGCCAAAACAACAGTGGGTGGAAGTAGCTGCACAAGTGGGAGCTGTCACTGCTCTATCGAGGAGCAGAACTATTGGTGACCTGCAAGAATATATACAACAGACTTGACTTGGTTACAATCTCTCGCCACAAAACAGGATGCTATTCAATGTTGACAGCCATCTTCTTCGCGGACAATCGTCCCCGATCTTAGACTAAAATAATTCACCGTTTATATCAAACTTTGTTAGAAAATATACAGTTTAAATCAAAGACTTTAAGCCAGTTAAAAACTACAATATGATTTAATTGATGTGTTTATTAAAAAAATTGATTATTTGTACCGTATTTTTTAAAGTGAGAGTAAATGTTGTGGCGAAGCCACACTGGCATGGATGTCAGATGTCAATCTGCATTTACTACCAGACGAGTAGTTATAATTATTAAATAAGCAAAAGTACACAAGTATAAATATCTAATATTGATATGGGAAACAAATACTTTATCTCCCATTTATAACCCAGATGGGTTCAACAAGCTATCGATTAAATTACTACTACTGTTATCTGTTACCTTATGATCCTGTATAGAGGACATGGATGTATACGGCCGTTGAGATATTTACATCCTTGAGGCCAAGTCAACAATAGATCGCACCGCCGTCTTAGATATATCGTTGCCAGTAGGGAGACAGATTGGCTGGATCTGCAACACTGGGTGGTGAATTGATACATGACACAGCAAAGGTGGTTAAAGTCCTTTGGGAACAAGTAACGAAGTCATAAAAGAAACTAGATTATTATGGCCTGAAGAGAATGATGCTCCTAGCTGTGACCTAGCTATATACAACAATAAGGAAGAGACAAACACTGTTCTTTGGCCACATAATGAGAAAGGAGACATTGGAGAACATCGTGACAACTGGAAAGATTAGTGGAAAGGGGATAGAGGCAGACCATGAGAGTTTGATTTGATTTGATTCAAGAACCGACAACACAGCACTCGGGGCATTTCCATAAGCGCTCCGTCCCCATCTTCAGCAGCCAGCTAAGAGTTCTGATATTAATGGTGCCAGTAGAATCCTGATTATCGTCCTTCTTGCCTTTCCTCTGAGCCTCGAGCATCTGCCAGAACCTCTCGTCACTCCTCCTCCCCCTGCATCAATCTCACCAAACTGTGGTGATCCATTTGCTCCTCCGAACTGTACACGCTCTCCCACAAGGCACTAACCACGTCTGCCTTATTATGTATCAGTATTCCACCAAGTTGTGCAGAGCCAGCCAGTCTGTCCGCCTGTTCATTTCCCAACACACCGGCGTATTGGAAAAAAAAATCAAGACAATACTCATTTCCCGTGTCCTCCGCAGCGAAGCATGTCACTCTGCACGAAGCATACCTGTTCTAATCTTCCTCATCATGCTTTCTGGGTCAGTTACCAAGAGAGATGATGCTGGATGAGCTAAAAGGATGGCATGGAGGGATATCATCAAGAGACCTGTTCCAGACAACCAGGGAACGTGATTTGTGGAGACGCATGAGCGCCTACGCCAGTTGGCAGGGCACACGATGATGATGATGATGAGCTGTGAACAGAGGGTCTGACCGGCTCACTACACTCAGAGGAAAGGCAAGGCGGACATATAACCACACTATGACTGGTACCATTAGTATTGAAACTCTGCACTGGCTGCTGAAGATAGCGACGCAGCACGTATGGGAATGCCCCGAGTGCTGTGATGTCAGTTCTTGACTCGACTCAACTCTTTGCCGGCAGATAATAGTACCGTCGCTAAAATATCATCAGGGGCGAGTTACCATAAATAAATGACAACGAATTATTGGGAAATGCTCTACTTTAACAACAACGCACTGTGTTTAATTCTGTCTGAGAGACGAGAACCAACAGTCTGCATACAAATTATCATCATCATAAACCACTTCTGCCGTTATGCGTCTTGAGATGTGGGGGGGGGGGGGGGGGGTGAATTTGTGATCCAGCGCACGCTGGCTGCCTCTGGCTGTTGTCATGCCGGGAGGGCGTAGAGTGTCTTTAATGTTTTCGATCCATGTTTTACACGGCCGTCATCTTGCTCTTGTAGCTGATCTTCTGAGATGTAGTGCTTGTGATGGTATCTGATCTCGGATTGTTAGCTTCTCGCAGGTGGCGATTTTGTGCAAATGGGTTTTAGATAGTGTCCACGTTTAGCACTGGTAGTTTAATGTTGGAATGAATATGCTGTTTATAATCAATCTCTTTGCACTCAAAGTTATGCTTCGATGTCTTATTAATGGTCATCATCATCATCATCATCTTCATAAACCACTTCTGCCGTTACACAGGAAGAAATAATTTGCGATACAGTGCACGCTGGCTGCCACTGACTTTTGTCATGCCGTGATGGCGTAGAGTGTCTTTAGTGTTGTCGATCCATGTTTTCAGCGGCCGTTCTCTTGCTCTTGTAGCTGATCTTCTGAGATGTAGTGCTTGTAATGGTATTTGATCTTGCTGCAGTCTATCGAGATGGCCAAACCACTTGATCTGTTGTTAATCAATGAATCTAGTACAAGGTGTCGTTCCCTCAATCTGCCTGATAGTTTCATTATTCACCCGATCTCGAATGGTAGGTTGGCTGCTTTTCTCGCAGTTGGTGATTTTGCGTATATGGGCTTTAGATAGTGTCTATGTTTGGCATTGGTAGTTTCATGTTGAAATGAATATGCTATTCATAATCTGTCTCTTTGTACTTATCCGTCCTCTTATCCGCCATACTGAACTGAATCACGGCACATGGATCCTTCTCGCTGTCTAAGTTGACGGACATGGAGGTTCAGCCTGGATCTGCAAGAAATGAAGATTTCACTAAGGGGATAAGACGCTTGATTAATCAACAGAAAAGGTGTCATCGCTCGTTTTACGCCAGTGGAGCTTTCGAAC